TGCCTTGAACTTGAAGAAATGCGATGATTTTAAACTATATATATATATATATATATATATCCTGGGTTATATTTCATTAAATACTGAAAATAATTAATTTTATATAGGTTTTACCTTTTTATGGCTATGGAGAAATATCTAAACTTCCACCTGATGAACGTCTAAAGTATATTCAGGATTTAAATGATGTAATACGTAGCTGTTCTTTCTTAGTGCATGGAAATCAACCTGAGGATTGTGAGTAAGTTTTATGTTGTGTTGTAACAACATATGTCATTGTTGTCTAAAGTTTATTTGATAGATTCCGGGTGTTCCTTATTAACGTCCTTAAAAATTTCTTTTCATACATCTTCACAACTAAAATTAGAAATTTGCATGCGTACAAGAATGTTCGTTCTCCTAGAATTTGAGAATTGGTGTACCCATTTAGATTTCGCTTCTTCCAGCACTTTTTAAATTTTCATCGAAAAAATTTTGAGCGATCCTCCATTATCAGCAACGTTTAATTTGCATGCTATATAAAAAAAAAACTCACAATTAAAACTTTTTTGCAGATATTAACAAGATTTTTTATAACACAAGAAACATTGCTTGTTTAAAAAAAGTCCTTCATTTTGAAATGCCTGGTTAAGACTGGCCATAGTGATAGAATAATTCTGTCTTAAACTTCGATCCGATAATTTTGTTTGTCCCTTCTTATTTCTCTGATTTTATTAGCCAATGAAATAAATGTAAAACGTTAGTTTCTTTTTTTTTTAGTTTCTTCTAGATGATAGAGATCATCATGCATGAAAACAATTTATATTTTAATCTTTATCTGAGCAGTGCTTTTATTCCTATTTCACGGGTTACATATGGAGCCAATTTAATCAGAAAAATTTTACCAGATATCTCATTTAAACCTTTGGAATGGAATAGGCAACTAATCCTCTTCTTTACAGAGCATGGCCCCTTTAAAGCATATCTAAAGCGATTCTGCCTGGCAACTGACAATACATGTGCCTGTGGAGGAGTAGGAACAGTGTGGCATTATGCAATAGAATGTCCGCTTAACACATCCTACCACTTTAAACAACCGAAGCAAGAATTCCTAATAGCCTGGAAGAGATCCATCTGTAAGAATCCAAAGTTAAAACAGAAGGCAACAAACCTCATTAATTTTCTAGAAGAATACGAGGAAATCCTGAAATAATTTTCATGAAAAAATGACAAAATTATGCAATGTTGAGCAACAACCACAACTAAACTTGGCAAATTAGCTCTGGATACTTTTTAATCAAATGCCCTAACAAACAGAATAATCGCTTCTTTTTTTTTCATATTTCTTTTTATTTTCTTCTCTTTTTTGTTTCTATTTGTTATTTTTTCCTCTATTTTTTCTATCTGTCTCGTCTTCCAACCTTAACCATTAACCGATAAATGCCCTTTTAGGGGCATAGGCGCGGGGTTAAATGTTGGTGTGTGTGTGTGGAGCCAATTTAAATATTGCTTTTTTATGTTGCAACCCTTGTAAGACCACTCCAATTATTCAGCATCATATTGCCATTCGAAATAAACTAATATTTCTAATAGATTTGACAAATTAATTGTATTGGTTGAAAATATGCTTAAGTGCTTTTTTTTCTAAATATTTTTAGAAAAATAATCAGTTAGATATATTAAATTATATTGCAGTCTCCTTACAGAGACTTTTTTCTCCATTATAAATGCTTTTAAGAAAACAGTGGATCTTCAAATACAAGAATGCTTTTAAACATAAATATTTCCTCCAAACATAAGAACGCTTTTAAGAGAAGTTATTTTAAATGACAAAATGTTGATTTTGCCTATATCTTTCTGTACTGATTAGCTCACTGCTAGTGGATGAGTTAATCATGAACCGAATCAAATAATAACAAATGATTATATGAAGAGGGACTGGAGTTTAAGCTGGTTTTATCTTCATTCATATATATATATGTGCAAATCCATTTCGGGCAAATCCGTG